TTTGTACAGGAAACATTTTCCATCGAACGGTTTGTAGAAAAACGTCTGGCATGTTTCCACTTCCCCACACAAATTGGCACATTGCTTTAAAGTTTGCTCCTCTATCGTGTCGAGATCATTGGTAGGTAAAATGTCTTTCAACAAGCTACTTCTGGTAAAGTCGTAACTTTTAACATCTGCAAGGACTCCTTTAATTTATAACAGAAATATTGAACATTACAATATGATGCTCGAAACTTCCTAGAGCCTGATTTTTAAAAATATGGGTAATCAAAGGTTACGAAGCTCAGCTCGACGAATGTTATCAGTGTAAGTAATACAAATCTCACATCATATTTTCTTAATGGTTAGTATTTATCCCGACAACAATATTCTTGCAAGTTCTGTTTAACCCCTCACATGGCGTATACACATTTTCTACACGTCTAGCATGAAAAACATATATAGTGTAAACAAATATCCATAACTTTGTTAATACTGCATATCTAGGACTAGGAAGTTCATTGGGATTGATCTGTTCAAAAACTTTAACCTGGTCTTTTGTTTGGAAAAAATAGTTCAGATCCAGCATCCGAAGCAAGTCTGGTAGTGTCCATCCTTAGATGTATCATCCATGCCAGTTTGGTTCAGGTAGGGCTAATAGTTACTTGGGAATGAAAAAGTAGGTCAGATCCAGCATCAGAAGCAAGTCCGGTAGTGTCCATCCCTAGATGCATCATCCATGCAAGTTTGGTCCTGGTAGGGCTAATAGTTCCTTGGGAATGGACCTGCTCCAAAAACTTTTACCTGGTAACTCATCTGGAAAATGTAGGTCAGATCCAGCATCCTAAGCAAGTCTGGTAGTGTCCATCCCTAGATGCATCATCCATGCAAGTTTGGTTCAGGTAGGGCTTGTAGTTACTAGGAAATGGACTTGGTGCTCCTAAAACTTTAACCTGGGACGCCGACGCCAACGCCGGGGGTATAGCAGAAGCTCATCTCGACTTCGTCGAGGTGAGCTAAAAATCCTTAAACTTAAAAACAAACTTTAAAAAGCAGCTTAACTTAATAAAGGCAATCATATTTTCATTTGTCTCCGTATCAATTTTTATTAAAATATTTTTATCTATTTAATCATTAAATCAGCATGCGTTAATAATACAACAAACATTTAATCAATTGATGAAGAAATAAAAATTAAACGATTTAATTACTTTACATTAGTACTGAAGATACATATTGTAATACATACATTTCCGCCCCCCCCCCCCCATAAAAAGAAATTGAAAATAAAGATATTTGTGAATGATTGTTTTGATATTTTCCATGTTTAAAATACCGGTATGTTTCCAAATCACATTATTTTTTTAGCTATGAATATTAATTTAGAAAACCAAATATTGTGAAACCCACTTAATAAAGCTCCCAAACCCCACCTCAACCAGCCCACCCCCAGAAAAACAATGCAAACAATACATGTACTAAAATGAGATTTTTTTAAAAATTGCTAAATCCTACCGTATTTAACTAATGTCCACAAAATTGCGACGAGAATTTTCATACTGCAAATTTTAATTCCTTGTGATGGACAAATGCAATTCAAATATTCATTATCACATCTATAATAAAGAAAACTGTTCCTTGATGGTTATTGCTTTGAAAATTACCAGGTTTCAGGTCCCTCTGAAAGCAAAACAAGAAACAGAAAACAACAGTATCAAACTTCAAATGGTCAGTCAGTATTTTAAATATATTCATATTGTTTTTTAACATGGCATATAAGTAAGCATTTGTATTCATACATTGTATTTATTCAGCATAATAAATAATCTAAAATGTGTTTGAAATATAATGTTTCAATATTTAACCATCAAAGCCGAAACACACATTTTACATTTACATTTCATCCTAATCTATACTTTTAAATGAGACATTTTTAGCAATATTTACCAACTGATTTCAGAATCACAATTTGCCCCATTAATTCAGAAAGGTTTTAAATTATGGTTAACAAATAGAGATCACAACCCAAACAAGACAAATTAGTATTGTTCATAGAATTCTTCTTGTATACAAACAATATTTTATCATTTTTAAAACCATCCTTTAATTGATGTTTTTTTTATCTTACAGCTTATTTAAATTATAATTTATCTCTGGTGCTTAGTTTCATGTCCATTCGTAGAGTAGAGAACCTGTTTTACATGTCCTCCTTTATTGAACATTCTACATAACTGTCTTTCATAGATGATTAAATAATTAAAAAAATATTTTTGATTGATAAATAATGAAGAACGTAAAAAGTTAATTCTAATATAATGCATTGTTGCAAAGCACTTTGAAAAATTACGCACTTTGAAAAAAATTTTCAAAGTGCGTTAAATTTGGGACCAAATCAACGCACTTTGAAAAAATAAAATTTCTTTTCAAAGTGTATATGCCTTGGTCAATATTCTTGAAAATCTTAGGTATGATAAATAATTGAACCTGTTGGATAACTTTTCGGTGATAAGATCACTTCTGGACGAGAGAGAGCGATTTTAATTTTTCCATACTTTGAAAATTCTTTCTCTCTTAAATGTTTTACTGTACTTATTTTTTTTCTTGTTTGCATGCATTTAACTTAAATTTATTGAAAGTTTTCAACGTGACACCAGATATGCAAATACATATATTTGGGTCTAACATAGGCATCAGTATTGTGTTAGTCACACAAATGTTTTGAAAAGATATAATACATGATATAGGAATTAAAAATTGGGGCTTACCTGGGGGGGGGGGGTAAATTTGCTATTTAAGTAAAAAAGAGTTGGTCTGAGAGACCTTCTATATACTCATCTGCTATTTGTTCTCGATGAGGGTTAATCAATACATGTAAATTAAAAGTTTTTAGAAAGTTATAATTATTACAAATTGATTCTCTCAATTACTAAAAATATAAGTCTATATATTTTTTTGTTTTATACATATTTTTTTCAAATTACGTTGATTTTGTCCCAATTCTAACGCACTTTGAAAAAAATTTTCAAAGTGCGTAATTTTTTTCAAAGTGCGTTGCCACAATGCATGAAAATTGTAGATTACCCAGTTCAACAAGTATGAACAAATTAAACATGCAATCACAAAATAATTCAATTTTATAGGAAAAAATTTATGCTTATCATTCTTTATCTATAAATAGCCCCAAAACTGTTTAACTTAAGGTAGGATTCTTCTCATATTTCTAATATTTAAAGATTAATGAAATTTTCACAGAACCAAGAAGACAATATCAGTAAGTGATAGTATCAATGAAATTGAATTTGATCGTTTTATATTAGGGGCAAGGTCAGGTCAAGGTCATTATCTTTTTCCTTGACATTAAGAATAAAAAAATACTTTTGCCAATCATGTGATACCTACTTCTATTTCAAAAGTTTAAAGATTGTTCTTTTTGCAGAAAAACATATTACTATATCGGGTCTATAGCTTGATATTATCAAGTTTACATAAATAATTATTCGCTAATCCGAATTTTCTCTGTTTTTTTTTTTTTTTTTTTTTTTTTTTTTAGGATATTTTAGTCATTTTCATATGCTTCCTATATTTAACTTTTTCTTATTTTCACATATAATAAAGTAGTCTTATAAATGTACAAAATGATACAAAAACAAAAAGTTTTGATCGTTTACTAAGAGAGAAAAAATACTTTTTATGGATTTTTGGCTCAAATCTGCACTTGGATAGGAGCGTTTAAAAGCTAACAAAGTTCTAGTTTGTTTGAAAAATCATATCTATTTGATATATTTTGAAAGTTTAGTCCCTCATTATTTAAATTTAATTTAACTTACATTTGAAAATTTCTCAAAGTCTTCGATTGTGTAAAAATTATTACTAAATTCCATTGTTCTATTGTAATTTTGAGAGGCAGAAAAGAAGGTTTTTTCGTACGCCAGTCCACCATTCCGCCAAAAATATAGTTTCTGCTAATTTTGAAACGCAGTTTACCATTTCTATTTAAAGTTGTAAAATTGTAATGAGGAAAGAAAAATATGGTCTTTTAAATTCCTTACACCTCAATATATAAGACATATAAGCAAATATACTTTTAATGTTTCATCTAGTCAGAAACCAGAGAAGAATCCTACCTTAACTCAGTATACTTTCGATACATGTACTTTATTTTATGAAATTTTTTTAAAAAATAAATCTGTTATAATCCTACGTGTAGCAAGGGTATTTAAAAAAATAGAAAGAATTTTGCAATTCCAGTTAATTTCTAAATTCTAAATAGACTGAAGAATTACTTTGTGGCACTTTGTTGTTCTGCTTTTTGCATAAAACCCAGTTTGCATTTAAGCATTTCATGGAAGAAGTTTTTACAAAAGTTTTATTTTAAAACTAATTACTATTCCAGCTGAAGTATCTTACACGCTCTTTTATCCTAACATTAACCTGAACTGTTTTAGATTGAGTTTCAATTATTTTTACATTAAGTGGCTGTGTCCAAGTACCATACTTTTATAACAAAAAGTGCAAGTAATAAGTTCGAAAATTCATGTTAGTTTTAAAATATATTTTATATATAGGGCTCACAGAGGGTGTGTTTGGTCAACAGAAGATGTTTTTTTCTCTCTAGGTACCTGATCCAACTCTGGAATTTCCAGATGTCTATTTTAAGCCCTTTTAAAGATAAGTGTTTGTTGTTTTTTTTTTTTTGGCATTTTGCCATCGATCGTTGTTTCTTATCTTCACCTTTTTCATTGAATCAAAAAAAGACGAAAAACTGTACAATATCTCAGTTTTAAAAACTTCTCGAACAAACAGGGAGATGCTCTTGCGATCAAGTTTTTATATTACATGTAAATATGAAGAATCATGGCAGCTAAGAGAGGTGTATGTATATGACAAAATAAAAGTCATACAAAAATTACCAGTAATCAGAATCAATGTATTAATTTCATTCAAGTTTGTACATCATGAAATAAATCTGGAAGATTAAAAATCTTTAATATCCAAAACACCCAAATATAAAGTGCGTCTCTCAATGTGGCCTCCAGTTTATAATAATCTCCCTGTCTTATATCTCGTGTTTCCATTGACCCCTTCTTATCTTCTTTTCCTTTTCCCACTTCCTCTTTTACCTTTTCTTCACGAATACACGTTACCATTTATTTTGAGTTCTCTGCCCTCCTGCTTCAATACATCTTAAACCCAGAATACACGTCTTTATGAAGTTTCTTCCAAAATATCACCTGTTTCCTTTCCTTTTGTGTTTGTATCTTTCTGTTTTTCATCCACATTTTGCTTTTCTTTATTCCCTTCTTCCCCGGTGAACCATTCCACAGAATCTCTACAGTCAGTCCCGTCCATTCCATCTCTGAGATCCATGTTTGCTTCAACTTCTTCCTCTTCGATACAAAGTGGTCTTTTTTCTTTTTCTATTTTCGCAATCCCTGTTATGTTTTCATTACTGTCAGTGGTAGTAGTGTCTTCCCTGGCTTGAGTTTGTGACAGCTTGCTGGAGGATAAATTCCCCTTGCTGTCGGTACTTTTAGAATCAGTTCTATCTCTGTGACTGATTTTACCGTACTTTGTGATTTCTTGTGTGGCACTATCATCCACCGACTTTCGGGGATCAAAAGTGTAAAAATCATTAGAACTGTAATCCCTTTTCAAGGGTGAAATATATCGAACTGGTACTTTTTGTTTTGTTAATTTTCGTGCGTTCAGCTGATCATAGTTATTTTCCGATACCTGCAATGTCCAGTAAAGAAATTTAGACAAAATAAATACAAGGTTTAATTAATATAACTAATGGCTACTTTTTACCTATTTTGGTCATCATGGCATGGAAAAACTATATTTTACCGCAGTGTCTTATTAAAATAAAGTAGGGAAATAACGAACAGTATTCGTTTTCAAAGTCAATTTAAACAATATTAATCGAGATTGGAGCAAACATGACTTCAAAAAAAAAAAAAAAAAATCAGAGGCAGGATCGGGTACCATGAAGGATTAAGCATGCCCTGCAGACCGGTCACATCTGCCCTGTGCTCCTTGTCATTACCAGAAAAAATCTATCCAGTGTGTAAAAATTACCTAACAATTACATGTAGTATGAAAAAATGTCTCAGCATTTAACTTTAATGATAGGTTGTTTTTGCTGAAACGTCATTGAATTGTAAATGTTTATAAATTGTATTTATAATAATGATTCATTAATGACTTAAAAACTTATTTTGTTCAAAAATACTTTAGGATTAAAAGATATGCGATAGCTAAATCTTAAAGAACAAACTGATGTCATTTCAACACTTCCCTTGTAAGATATCTCCGAACTTACATTTGAAACACTAGTTAGTTTTTCTTGATGGATCTCATTAGCTACTTCTATTTGTTCGTAGATTTCACTTATATTTCTAGGCATAGGTTGTTGTCGTCTCAAATTGGGAAAATTTCTGCTACTTATGGATGATGCTTCATCTTGCTTTCTAAATAGTAAAATGAAAAACAATAAAGATTTTTTTCCTAAGCAATGAATTGATTTTCTTCTTTATTGTTTTCATGAAACAAAAAGAATTGTTGAGAAATTATTATATTAACTAAAATTGTAATTTTAAGGGAAATTGCAAAAACAAATCAACAATGAAATAAATAGAGTTGAAAAGTATAAAATATACCTTATTTGTATAATAAAATATACCTTATTTGATGACGACATTTGTACAATATTAATACCACCAGTAGAGTTATCAGTATTCCAAAGATAAAACAGCTGAGTGCTACTCCAGTCAACAGAGCCACAGAGACTCCTGAAAAAGAAAAACCAATTACAGCTTACAACAGTGAAGATATATCTTTCTGAAAAAAAAAATGAAATTGCATTATCTTTCACAAAATAATAATCCATTGAAATTCAAACGTCCAATATCTATTCCATGAAATAAATGGAGATAACAAACAGTATTCAAATTCTTAAACAATACAAATCACGAGCAGAGCAAACAGTGACCTTTACAGCATTTGAGGTGGGATGAGTGAGCATCTCATGCCAACCTGTTACACCCACCGTGTACTCCTTGTCATGAATGAAAAATAACTTTAAAAATTAGTTTGTAAAAAATGGCAAAACAATTACTATGAAAACAGTCATTAAACAAAATCACTCAACAGTTAGTTATTTTCGTACTGTTCCCTGCTGACAAAGCACGTAACAACATTGTCTTCGATTCGTGTGTAAGGCTTATTATATAAATTGTATTTTAGAAGATCTTGGATTTAATTCTGCAAGTGGAAATCCAACTTATACTCATAGTTCCCTTTCTACTGAAGAAAATCCTCAAAATCATGTCAGTTTTAAATATTTTTAATATTCCAAACAACCAAAATGAATTTGAATTACCATATCAATATTGGATTCCGAAACTTCATTAAAAAAAATCCTTCCAAACAAATATACATAGGGGAAGGGGGGGGGGGTCCAGTAAATGTTCAACCATGCCTTTTTCTTTACTCCTCACTAAGATATTAACAGGAATATTGCAGGAGAAACTTCAAGAGTACTGTGCAACAATATATTCGAGAGTTGGTGTCAATCAGATGTGGATACTTAAAAATTCCAAGGAACTTTTGGACAATTTGAAATCATAAGACTTTACCAGAATCAAAGACTTAAAAACTCATGACTTTTCAACTTTATGCACGACCATTCCCAAAGATAATTTAAAATTTAAAAAATATAAAGGATGAAAGTCTAGGCTTTTTGATATTATCGACAGCTACTTTTTCAATAAAAATCAACCTCGAAAGTTTACTTATCTTGTCATTGATCGTCTGCAAAATTCTTTTGTTAAAAAAACATTCTGATTGTACACACAAGTACTGAAGATGACGTCAGAAAGATGCTTGATTTCTGATTGACAGTATCTATGTGGTTTTTAGAGACCATGTCTTCCAATAATCTATTGGAATTCTCATGGGTACCAATTGCGCCCCGTTGTTAGCAGATTTATATTTGTAATCATATGAAGCAGAATTTGACAATTTGTCTAAAATCTTATAAGTGAAAAGAAGAAAACACTTGCTGTGGTCTTCAACTCGACAATTAGATATATCGACGACGTATTGTCAATTATCAGTGGTTATTTCTATTCTTATATCGATACGATATACCCCGGTAAGCTAGAGATAAAAAATGCCACAGAGTCTGACACATGTTTCATACTTGGATATTTTACTTGAAAAAGACGTTAGTGGTAATCTAACAACCAAACTCTATGATAAACATGATGACTTTAACTTTTCAATCGTCAACTTCCCTTACTTATGCAGCAATATACCTTCATCACCTGCATATGGAATTTATATCTCTCAGTTGATTAATATCGATACACAAGAGCATACTCTACGTATGTACAATTTCTAAAACGAGGTAAATTATTGACAAACAAATTGATGAAACAAGAATATCAGCAGTCTCGTTTAAGGTCATCATTTCGTAAGTTCTATGGTCGATACAATGGCCTTGTTAAGCAAATACAATTTATTATTGAGTCAAATGCTGACTGACGTTTTTCATACGAATTGTTAGTCCATTATTTTCCGTTATTTCCCAATTATGACAAAGAGCACACGGCGGGTGTGACAGGTCGGCAGGGGATGCTCGCTCCTCCATGGCATCTGATCCCACCTCTGATGTTTTGGAGGTACGTGTTTGCTCTGCTCCTATTTTGTATTGTTTAATGGACTTTTGAGCTTGAATTCTGTTCGTTATCTCCATATATTTTATTTCAAAAGTATCACCTGTATTATCTATTTCATAATGTCTCACCATCACTGTGTTCAATGGTTCCTTTGTTGTTTGAGGTAGAAGTTGATGAGTTGGCCTCTGTGTTATTTGGGGTCAATGAACAATTAAGTGTTAAAACGTAGAAATCATCACAGAATTGTTGGTCAGATATGCCAGTTTCTGGACATCGGTCAATTTTGACCGTTGAATCTATACAAACTCGTATTCCATTTTTCTTGGCTCTTTCTAAGGTTAGCCAGTAAAACCATAACTCATCATAACACAGCTCTTTTATTTCCTCGCTGATTTTCTAAACGTGATCAAAGAATGTTAAATCGATGAAATAAAACATTTCAGATACACTTTTTGCACAACTGCTTATTTTTATTAAGTTCATTATTTTAACACTGTTTAATACTAAAAATTTAACAGTATTAGAGAATTCCATTGAAAAGGCAAAAAATCCGTTATAGAAAATAAATTATTATTTCTTTTGTTAATATTTTTTATGTAAGACTTTCTATATAATTATAACAGCTTTACCTGCAAGTTTTCCGTGTTACAGTCATTCTCGAACACAGTTCTATATTCTTTGAAAACATGGTCCATGGCGCAGCGCACAGATGGGGATGTAAACTGGGTTAAAAACACTTCTCCAAACTGTTGATTTCTGAAAATATATAATTAAATCCCTCTAAGTAACAATAATTTTTTGTCAAAGACAATACCATCAAAACGTTGGCTTTTCAACATTTTATACAATCAATCCCCCAAATGAATCAAGGCAAGACACTTGACATTATTCCTTTATATGCCCCCGTAAACGAAGCTTCGGGTGTGTATAGTTTTTGTCGTGTCCGTCCGTCTGTCTGTCTGTTTGTCTCTCTGTCTGTCTGTCTAGCTGTCTGTTTATCCGCAAAAACTTTAACCTTCCCAATAACCTTTGCTTTAGTGGAGCTATGACTTTCATATTTCACATGTCTATCCCTTGTGACAAGACCTTTCTTTGGATATCACCAAATTTGACCTTTTGACCTTGACCTTGGAGTTTGACCTACTTTTACACACAAATTTTAAACTTTTACTTTGGTCATATCTTTTGAACAGTAGAGACCAGGGCATTTATACTTCCTATATGTATTTTTTGTTAAAAGACCTTTCATTGATACCAACAACCTTGACCTTTTGACCTTGACCTTTGAGATTTCCATACTTGTGAAAAAACTTTAACCTTGGCCATAACTTTTGAACGTTAAAAAACAAGGCTTTCATACTTCACATATGTAATTCTTTTGAAAAGACCCTTCATTGGATACCAAAAATTTGACCCTTTGACCTTGACCTTGGAGTTTAACCTACTTTTAAAAAGCAATTCTTGACCATAACTTTTAAAGGGTTAGAGCTAGTGCTTTCATACTTCACATGTTTTAATTTTTGTGACAAGATATTTCATTTGATAGCAAGACTTTTGACCCTTTGACCTTGACCTTGGAGTTTTATTTACTTTTAAATTTTTTTAACCTTGGCCATAACTTTTGAACGGTTAGGGCTATGTATTCTATGTGGCAAGACCTTTTATTGGATACCAATGATCTTGACCTTTTAAATTGACCTTGGAGATTTTTGTACTTATGAAAAAACTTTAACCTTGGCCATAACTTTTGAAAACTAAGGGCTAGTGATCTCATACTTCACTTATGTAATCCTCATGAGAAGACCCTTCATTGGATACCAAGAATTTTGACCTTTTGACCTTGACCTTTGAGTTTGACCTACTTTTAAAAAGCAAACTTTGACCATTACTTTTAAAGGGTAGGGTTAGTGCTTTCATACTTAACATATAATCCTTGTGACAAGACCTTTCATTTGAAAGCAATACCTTTGACCTTGACCTTGGAGTTTGACCTACTTTTTATAATTTTTAACCTTGGTCATACCTTCTGAATGGCTTCTATACTTCACATATGTATTTTTTGTGGCAAGACCTTTCACTGGATACCAATGACCTTGACCTTGAAGATTTCCGTACTTATAAAAAAACTTTAACCTTGGCCTACTTTCATATTTCACAATTGTATTTCCAGTAGGAATACCCTACTTTTGGTACCAATATATAAAATTTGCATTTAAGAAAAGTTTAATCTTTGCTATGTTGCCATACGGGGGCATCAGTGTTTCACAAACACATCTTGTTTATTCTGTTCTTGAAACGATTGGAACTGAAAGTTTTTCTTAATACCTTGTCAATTGTCATCTAAAACTTATTCTGAAGTAAAATATACTAATATATAGAGATAACGAACAGTATTTAAGCTCAAAATTAAAAAAGACTTCTGGCATTCTTGCATGTTTCATCAACTTGTTTGTCAATAACTTACTTCATTTAACCTCTTCCGCATCGAATCAACTGAGAGTTATACCCGGATATGTATAAACCCCTTATGCAGGTGACAAGGGCATATTGCTGCATATAAGCAAGGGAAATGACCATTGAAAAGTTAAAGCCATCTCGTTTATCATAAAGCTTTGTTGTTACATAGCATTAACGTCTTTTTCTAGAAAATATCCAAATATAAAACAAGTGTGTCTGACACTGTGATATACTTTATTTCAAGTTCACTGGGATATATCTTGTCGTTATAGGAATGGAAATAACTATTGTTATCATGGGATTTGAACAGTCAAGTAAAAGTTGACAAAAAGTATCACTGCATGAACATCATGTCTAGTAATTAAAAAAATCCAGAAAAGTTCAATCTATAAGAGATCAAATATCTAATGAATTGTTTGGGTTTTGAACTTACATTGCAATGGCGATTTGCGAATTTTCTGGGAAGTAATCCTTAGTTGTTGTGAAATGAGTTATAATTGTAGTTGAAACTCGAGATATGTCTGTTGAAACTGTTGGAACTCGAGATGTATCGGTTATTAAGGCACTGCTGGGTGATGTCTGGTGGTCAGTAAACAGAGTTGTTTCCAGCGTTGTGGTTGCTATGGTTGCATCTGGGGATCTTCTGCTTCGTAGTCCGCAACAAGGAGGTATTAAAACCAATATCGAAACCCAGACTGCAATGATTATTACTGGCCTCATCCTAAATTGGTAGCCTGAAGAATTTGGTGATATCTTTAATTAATATATCAATTCCAAATGTACATTAATTGTGTACATCTGGAACACTTTTACAAGATGGGGGGTGGGGGGTCTACGAGTAAAAAATCAGATAAATACGGAGATCCAAATACAAATAATGTGAAATGATAAGATATACTTCAGTAATTTCAAGATGCAATAATTCGATTATTGCTCTCCACAATTAGACTAAAGCACAAACCAAATCAATTATTGCTCTGATCAATCGATTAATGAGAGCAAAAATTGATTTAATGAGTGAATAAATTCAGTGGAGGAGAGATCAACAAGAGGCCAAGTGGCCACATCGCTCACTTGAGCACGTCGGCTAGGAAAATGCACAAATCAGATCAGAATTTAAAAGTTTTCTGAGGCGGTGTGGTTGGGTGGGGTGGGGGGCTTTAATTCTAATACTACTTGAGAATGCCTCCATATCAATTCTGCATTTAACTTATTGAGAGAGTTCTTGAGAAGAAGATTTTTAAAGATTTTTCCTATATATTCCTATGTAAAACTTTGATCGGCCATTGTGGCCCCAATCTACCCCCGGGGCCACGATTGGAACAAACTTGAATGTACACTATCTGAGGATGATTCAACATGAGTTTTATCTTTCATGTCCCAATGGTTCTTGAGAAGAAGATTTTTAAAGATTTTTCTATATATTCCTATGTAAAACTTTGATCGGCCATTGTGGCCCCACCCTACCCCAGGGGGCCATGATTTGAACAAACTTGAATGTATACTATCTGAGAATGATTCAACATGAGTTTCATCTTTCCTGTCCCAATGGTTCTTGACAAGATTTTTAAAGATTTTTCCTATATATTCCTATGTAAAACTTTGATCGGCCATTTTGGCTCCACCCTTGCCCCGGGGGTCATGATTTGATCAAACTTAAATCTGCTCTACCTGAGGATGATTCCACATGAGTTTCATCTTTCCTGGTCCAGTGGTTCTTGAAAAGAAGATTTTTTTAAAAATGCCATTAATTTTCCACTAATTCATAATCATCTCCCTTGGAAGAGGGCGTGGCCCTTCATTTGGACAAACTTGAATCCCCTTCACCCAAGGATACTTTATACCAAGTTTGATTGAAATATGGTCCAGTGGTTCTTGAGAAGAAGATGAAAATGTGTAAAGTTTACAAGGACGACGACGACAACGGACAAATTTTGATCAGAAAAGCACATTTGAGCCTTCGGCTCAAGTGAGCTAAAAATGGATTTGATGGGCACTCTAAATTAATTATAGAGTTCAGAGTTCAAATGACGGGTGCATCTCAACACGTTTTTGAAAGTGGGGAAGCAGTAAGGGCTTGGGGATTTTTAATTACCTAAAAAAGGAAAATTCTCCGAACTTGAAACAAAACCTTTTCCGTAGGTGTCGGGAGGGGATGTAAATGAAATCAGATTGATAGAAAAAGTTTTTTTTAATTCAAGCATGATATTTTATACACGGGTATTTGAATTTAGTTTAGAAAGCATCCAGCTGAGTTGAATATTCAATGTTTCACCGAAATCGCACACTGTTATGTAGATTCATATCTAAAACCTCGACAATATAGAGGTACTCAGGTAAGTACTGGGATAATCAGTAGAAATGTCACCTTCAGGGACACATGCACCTATATAGAAAATCTTGAAATCAGCCAGGTATGTATATCATCTGGTCTGAATCAAATTAAAAGAGATGTTTTTTTTTAAAACGCTTATTAATAAATTCATGGTTTTCTATACGTGTACTCGTACTGTTTTATATCGTATATGCATACAGTTATCAGATCTTATCTCAAATTTATGTTTCAATTCGATCCATATCGGATATAAAAACATTCTATTTACCTATAGATAATCAGATACACTAGCTTTGAATTCACATCTACTTATTTATTTTTTAGATATTTATTAATATTTATTTTTGTTGTTGTTGTTTCTTTTTTCTTTTAATTGCATTATAATAAAATTAAATACATTAATTCACTTTATCCTTTCAGATCCTATCATTACCTTTCGTTGTAACATATCAGGGTTAGGACCGAAAGCATAATTATGCTCTTGGTATTTACTTTTAAAGTGAAACAAGCTTTGCAAGACATTGGCCAATTTTCCACAGTGTCGTGCATTAGGTCAAAGTAATAGCATTTATAAAAATCGAAAAATTAAAATAAATAATTTACATACCTATAATAATCTCTCATCAAAAAAATCAAGGAAATCATGTCCGCGTGGCTTTTCAATATTTCATTCAACCAACACGCGTACGGTCCACTGAGTACAAAATGATTATGTGGTAATGTGAGCAGACTCTTTTTCTTTAGAACTAGTACTCGCCATTGTGCAATATTGTGAATATGTGCATGAGAAACGGACCATAAAATTATATGTAATGCATGTACGTGAATTGTGACATGTGCATGAAAAAAGAACTAGAGCGAAAGAATTGTTCTGCCGCTTACCTCATAAACAAAGAAAGGTAACTCTATAATTTGAAAAACTGTCCTACCCCCCCCCCCCTCTCTCTCTCTCTCTTTTTCATTTACGGTTATTAATTTTGCAGAAAAAACAAGGATTCTGTCAAAGGCAATGGGTATATTTAGCGACTAATGTGCGTGTAATAATGTAACGTGTTTAAGGGGTCGTACCTGGTTGATTCCACGATCTCGGTAAAGATGATATTTACAATAAATAATTTTCCTTTTAAAAATGATTGGTTAAATGATTGGCCTGCAAATATATACAGATATGGCCCTTCCCTTACTTAGGGGGAAATCACAATTGATTGTCGGCCTTATATTTACAAAATCACTGGTTCGCCCAATAGCACCGGACTGACACCAATATTGCCTTATTCGGGCTCGTAGTGTCAGTCACGCCGCTTTGTCCAATATCCTAGTGGTCAGCCTCTAACAACAGAAGACACTGAATTGTCCTTATTCAGGACGCACAGTCATCCACTGTTATCAGAGACTTCCACTTTCTTAAAAGCTTACCAGATAAGCCTCAAGCGGGTTGACGTTCCTCTAAACGGTTAGTCAAACAATAATACAATACACCCTATTTATTGTGGCAAGCCTTCGTCGTCAGGCAATCCACCCAGTATTGTTAAACAGTTGTGGCAAGCCTCAATATTTGGCAATCCACCCGACTAACCTTATCTCCTGAACTTCAGTCTTCTTCGCTCTGCTACTTGGACTAAAAGAACCCTGCAGCTTAGCTGCGCTTGCTTATATACCTTTGTTTAAGTCACATGATCAGCTAAGGTCACATGATCAGCTTCAGCCAATCAGAGATCCCAAGGCCCGACTTGCATAATTGGAATAGGCAAAGACTAAAGCGTTACATTACCCACGCCTTCGATGACATGCGACCCGCATGTACCCAAAGAAAAATATAACCAAAGATTTTTTTTTAAAAACTATATTTTTTTTTTTGTGACAACATAACCTTGTGTCAACATTATCTTTAGTAAAACTATCAAAATAATGATGTCTTTCAAATCATGTACATAAGAAATCTAAATTTTCTACGCAGGATTATTTGTCAACATAATAATCATGAAGCCAAGTAGGTGGCTTTGTAATTCTCTTTGGTCGACCATTGCTAGCATCATCGATTGGTGTGTCTCCGTTACTGTCTTTTTCAGTTTCTTGCAGCAACTGGTCTTCCTCAATCTGTGGATACTCTTCTCCAGAAAGTGTTTGAGGATATTTCTTTCGCATGCGGTCAACATGTATTACTTGTTCTGACCCTCGAGACCCACAATTGACCAAATAGTTTAAATCGGATATCTTTTTGACAACTCTATATGGGCCTTGCCAATAGCTTGTAAATTTGGGTGAGGTTCCAGGCTTTCTGCGTGGAAAGAATACATAAACTTCCTCCCCAGTACTGAAAGTTTTCCATCTCAGCTTCCTATCATGGAAGTGCTTTTGTCTTATCATAGCCTGACCAGTGTTTTCCCTGACTATGTTATGGGCTCTCTCAAGGCGTTCTTGAAGCTCCCATACCCATTTGTTTGTGGGTGTTTCTTTAATGTTACTCGGGACTTCGTACATTAAATCCAGAGGGGTTGTAACTTCACGCCCCAACATCAGCATGTTAGGAGTTACCCCAGTAGTTTCATGCACGGAAGACCTGTAAGCCATTGTAATATAGGGCAAGTGGACGTCCCAGTCTGAATGGTGTTCGTTTACAAATCCACTGAGCATTGCAGTTAGTGTTCTATTAAACCGTTCAACCATACCATCCGATTGGGGATGATATGGAGTGGTACGAGTTTTCTGAACATCTAATAACTGGCACATTTCTCGGAAAAGTTGGCTTTCGTACTGTGGACCCTGATCCGAGTGTATTACACCTGGAACACCAAATCTTGTCACCACCTCTTCTACTATTTTACTAGCGACTGTCTTGGCTTCCATATTGGGCATGGGGAAGCACTCTGTCCACTTGGTAAAATAATCGGCCACGACTAAAATATATCGGTTTCCATTGTCGGTCTCTGGTAACTCGCCAAGGATGTCAGTGGCTATCCTCTCCATAGGGTATCCAGAACCTACTATTTCCATTGGCGCTTTATTAGACATAGTAGGCCCTTTTCGTTTTGTGCACACTTCACAACCTGCTATGTATTGGTGAACATCTTTTTGTAAACCTGGCCAGTAGTACGATTGTCTAATCTTTGCCAGTGTCTTATGTATGCCAAGATGTCCAGCTGTTCTATCGTCGTGACAGAACTTAAGAATCGTTCTTCTCTCCTTGCTGGGAACTACAATCTGCTTTTTCTGACTGTTTGTTATCAAATCATCCCATTTCCTGTAGAGAATATCGTCATGCAAAGCTAACCTGTCCCATTGGGACCATAACGATTTTATCACAATCGACTCTCCTGATATGACATTATATTTTGGACGATCATTTGTGATCAACCATTGTTTAACCTTACTTAGGTCTCGATCTTCATCTTG